AGGCATCAGTGCACTGTGGTAGTGGCCCTGGAGGACTACTGAATCTCAGGACCTAGTACACCTTTCCTGCCCCCCCAACCCCGTCCATACTGCATAGCAAAAGCCACATGGGGCCAGGTCATAGCAGAGGTATATACATATCACCTCACCATGCTTGCTAGCTTTCATGCTGAATGTTCTCTTTCTGGGCTTCAGACTGAATAATGGGGGTGGAGAATGGCAAAACAAGGCACGTGTGACTGTGTACAGTTACAAGATAGCCTAAAATACTTTTGCAATTGTTCAAGACCAAATGTGAGGACAGATGAATAAGATAAGAGAACAATTGCTTCAAATGTGGAAAGGGTGCGATAAAGACTATCATGAACTGAATCTCATATTAGAAAGATCAACTGAAATGGGGAAAACAGTATGCTAGTTAGTGTTGTATTGACTTCCAAAAAGCAGTTGATGGAATCTATCATCTATGACTATGTTCAGCATACTAAGACGGGTGAGTATGAACTTAAAGTAATAAAAAACAATTATGTTGGACTCAAGGCAATTTAATATGCAATGATAATAAAAATGAAAATATAGTAGATATCAAGAGAGGAGTGAGACATGGCTGTACAATATCACCATCTTTTTACTATAATATCACCATCATTGATTTACTACTTTATTCAAAAGAAGAAAGGGAGGGATTTTAAAAGTTCAAGCCAACATAAAATATGAAGAAATACAATTAGTGATACAAATTGTTGAAGAAAAGTAGTCTGAAGCTCTGTCTACACTACAAAGAAAAGTTTACAGTATAATTTACAGAGATGCTGAAAAACGCATCTGCTTTTCCAAAAAAATTTTCAGAAAAGCATACGCGTTCCTTGGTATCCAGGAAAAACTCCCTAGTCTAGATGTACCCTGAATTAGATACAAGTCTGGGTTTTCTTCTTGTTGTCCAAAAATTTTAATAAATTTTCCCTTAACAGCATGTTTTTATTTTATACACCCAAACAAGCAACACAAAGCTATAATGTTATCTCTTGTTTATAGAGACAGATGCAATCTACTCAAGTTTCATTTTTATGGTTTAAAATATTACCAGACAATCACAATAAAAATGCCACTTAAAGCACGGAATTTGGTGTCATTTATTATCTCTACATTGATTTAATATACTGCAGATTAAGTCTGTCAGACAGCATATGTATGCCATAATAAGAGCATGATTCCAAATGGATTTGTTTTATTAGCAGCTATGTATATTTTAATTGATAGGGGGTACGCTGGTGTAATAAACATTTATAACCCTAGAAAATGTGTGTATGTGTTTATTAAATAGCTAAATAGGTAACATACAGCATCTAGCTGATTAGGTAATATTTCATTTAGCAGGTTATGTAAAATATGTAGTTCCACAGCTCCTATAAATCACATTTTTCCAGTTATTGAGTTATTCATTTCTCTTCAGATAATTTACCATCTTGATATTATCTGTATCAAACTTACCATATGATCAATTCAGTCGATGATATATACACTTTTCCAGTAACACACTTTGTTAAAAGTTGTCTAGCACAATACAAAGTAGACATTTTATTTCTGAATTTTGAAGCAAATGACACCCAGTATTAGTCTTGTCTATACTCCTTTATACGGCAAAGTTATCTTTTCAGGCTGTTACTTAGCAACAGAAAATAAAAGTTAACGGGTTTGGATTTACTCTGAGTATTAAAACCTTATTGTGAGGATATTTTGGTAGCCCTGTAATCTAAAGCATTTGTTATGCTAATTCCTGCCTCAGTGGTAAGGCTACTTGTACCATAATAATCCACACTAGACCATGTAACATCAAATAAAAAGTATCTTCACACACTCAGTGATAATTAGCAGCTCTACTTCTCAATGGCACACAAACTTATCTCTGAAAAAATAGTTTAATCTTCTTATTAGTCTCTGCTGATCTTTGACAAATGAAGTAAAGTGTAGAAAACACAAGGAATAGCCAAAGATGTGTATGCTATAGCTAATGAAAATAACAGTCACAGAGTAAAGCAAAATACTAAGCAACTCATAAGAAAGAAAATGCTTCATAAACAATAAAATAGTCCCCTCCATGATTTTTCCGGGGACATAAACAATAAAATAGCAATTTTACATTATTACTTACCAGACAATTTACCCACCATTGCTTGGGTCCTTTACTCAATTTTTGTTTTTTTGGAAAATAAAATGAAAATGTACATGCTTCACTTAAATCATTGCTCTAGGGCAGGACTGGGGATAAGGAGTTCAGTATGCAGGCTGCCCTGTGGAGAGAGGGCAACCTCAGCCCTCTCTCTCTGCAGCAGCTTGGGGCCAGGTGAGAAGCAGACAAGAAGCTGCAGCAGCCACAGCTTGGAGAGGGGTGTATGTCTCCCGGCTAAGGTAGGTCCAGGTACATCTGCCCTCTATGCTACCATGTCAGAGTGAGAAATGCAGCAAACAGTGCACTTTTCCCTCGCTCCCTGATGAAGGAGAACAGCCAGCAATATTCCCATATGAATCAGGGAGATTCAGCCCCCTCATCCCCTCCTTGAAGGGGGCCTAGAGGGTAGGAAGCTTGGGGCTAGAACTGTTTCAGAAGGGGTGGGGGAATGTACCCTCATCCAGCCCATTTCATCTGTCTGGTAATAATGTCTCTTTTCTGTATGGTTTTATGAGAAGCAGTCCCATTCCAGGCACATCCAATTTTCCTGGCACAGCTGAACCCTTACCTCGCTTTAAGTTATAATAAGAGGAAGATGTATACCAGATTTGATGGTCCTGGCTTTTACTGTTTAGAAGGACTTCTTGAAGAGACAGACAGAATAAACCTCAATCAATATACAGTACATCTCACAACCAAATGCCCAAGAGATGCAGAAATGAGGGACCATAGTGAAAGCCAAGAATTTGTGGAGTAGACTAAAGCAAGATGACTTCCCTTAGGGACGAGGCAGGAAAGTCTGGAGACCTCTGAAGATTCCTTGAGAAAAAAAAAACCCAGCTCTGAGGCAGGACACAACTGGGTAGGGAAGGAGGTCTTATCCAAACTCATTGAAACTGAATATTTGATATCTGGCTCCAGACACAGCACACGGGGCAGCCTACAGTGTTCCTCACTGTAGGAGGAGCATTTTTAGTGCACACGCAAGTATGCACCTTATAGGGAACGGAGCTTCCCAGTGGGAAGGACTCACTAGACACTGGGGACATGTCCCGGCAGGGTACTGTGGCCTGGCAGGCAGGCAGGGGTTCATGGCCCGCCACTGATCTTCAGACCGATGGTTGAGAACTGCTGGTGTACATAAGCAGGTGGAAAATGATGACCGCAAAGAGTGATGACCATTTTAATAACTTCAGTACAGTGCTATAAATATATGGGCTTTGCTTTGGTTTTAAATTGGTAGTTTTAAGGCATTTAAGCAGCTCTGTTGTATCTGCCGTGATAGTGACAGAAGGAGAAAAGGTTAAAAAAGGGTGTTGAACTGGAATTACACGGGAAATTAATATTATATGAGAAGTGGTACAAAAAATGAAGCACATATTTTGAAGGTGGGAAAAGCTTGTAGGCTTTTTACTAGTGGACCATTTCTAATTTACACTAGAATTCCAAAAAGCAAATGGAAAAGATGAATGTACTGAGTTTGAAAGCAACGCACCTTAATTTTCAGGAAAAAAACCCCACATATTAAAATATTAGCAGATATAAAAAAAATATGGTTGACAGATGTGGAAACTCCAGGGCTAATATTTACAATTTTGCAATCTAAATTTAAGGATCCCAAGGCTCAGATTTTAAAAAAGCATGTATGTACCTTGAGATGCATCTAGGCACCTGAGGAATATTCAAAAGCATCTCTGCTTCTAAATGCAATAGGGCCTAGGCATCTAAGTGTTTGAAAATCCTCTTAAGTAACTAAATACATTTTAAAATCTGGCAACAATTTAATATTTAACATCTTAATTAAAATGCACTTGATTTTCAGAGATGCATGGTATTTGTAGCTTATTTTCACTTTGCTGGCAGTTTTAGCTATTCATTTCTGAAAACATCAGATTACAATTGCCTGATTTTACTTATTTACCCACATTGCCATCAACGTTTAGGTAGTTTGTTCTGAGAGTAAAACACCTAAGCCAAATTTTTCATTCTAAAATATTGATAGATCTGTAGTCTTAGCTGTTTGTAACTGAAAATAATCTGAACCTATTTTCTTTTTATGATGTTTCAAAGTTTTTACTAGTCCTGTAGTTAAGTACATCCTAAATTACCCAAACATTCACAAATGTATTATCCCATGATATTTTTTAGAAAATTGAACAAATGTCTAATCTTTCAGAATTTAAAAAAAACAAAGGAGTATTGACTTTTTCCACATTTAGATTCAAATCATGGAAACTCAATGACGAGGAGTAAGGATCCTCGATGTTATATCTTCTACCACAAAGATCCCACCCACAACGTCAGTGTTCGTTGAATCACATTGGTTCCATTAGACAGCTGCTAGTGAATACACATTAACTAGAGAAAAATTGGATCTGGTGCCTGGATTTCCTAGCCCTCTATTTTTACTAGTCTCATGTGGTATGAAAACATTCTACTTTTCTGTTTTTAGGGACAAACATGCAGTCCATTAACTCTATTCTTCTTATGCATCAGTTCAACAATAGGTGTGATTTTGCCCTAACTTCACAGAAACCTTGCCCTTTACGTTTATCCACAATGAAAACCATTTCTCACCTTTCTCTAAAATACAGCAGAAGCACTCTAATGAATTACATTTAACAGAGACATATATTGTCATAGAGAAAAGAATATGTTTCAGTGCATTTAGGCTATGCCACCTAGATGCTCATTGGCATATTCAAAATACCTCTCTCATGTGCATGCTGACCATAGCTGATGGTAAAATTGAAACAGACTTTTTGCAACAGGTGACTGTAAAAGGAAGCTGCAGTGTTTTCAGCCTAATGTTTTCACTATAGGTACTTACTGTGATCTGACACCACACACAATGAAGTCCAGTCAGGCCTTGGTAACATTTTATATTTTTGTGACACTTGTCACATTTTGTTGGACAGTTTCCTTCTACCCAGTAGTGGTGCATTACCTATGAAAGTAAAATGCAGGTGTAGGTACAAATACCAACTTTAATAGCTACATGTCAAAGTAAATGCTACCACAGGCTTACATCGGTGTTCTTTTTGGACTTCACATATGTTTTGATACAAGAAGCAGGTGCTCTTGAGACGCAGCGTTCATGGACTGTGTACTTGCAAACTGAAAAGAGAAGCATGTTAAGACTGAGTTAATGCTGTTTCTGACTATATTTCTATGAAAAAATGACATTAGTAGAACTCGGTTTCATATCTACTACTATTTAATCAATCCAATCAGTCAATAAAAGACTCAAAGTAGGCTGTTTTTTCCATGCAATACAAAAGGCCAATTAGTACAGGAAATATTATGCAAGTGAAAAATCCAAGAATCCTCTATCATGGCACAGCAGGAAATGCTTAATTAAATCAGTCCTCACTAAAATTTTTCACAATAATTCCCGAACGACAATAATATTAAAGACAAACTGATGACTGCCAAATGGTTTGGTGTCATTTGCTAGTAGGAAGAAATCTATATTTTACAAACTATAGGCATAAGAGCAGCTGGTAAGCATGAAAATAAAAGCCAATGAGTTTATGTTATTCTCTCTATTGATTTATAAATCTTAAATGGTTGATTAGTTCATTTCCAGATAGTTATTCTTGTCACACATTTCACGTAATCATCCAAAGTTCAACTCTTTCTTGCCATCATGTTACTTCTATACAGAAACGCAAATTCACTACCATCAGTTTTACATACTTGTCTTTTATTGACAAACCTTGTCTATAAAGATCACACTAACTATAATGGGAGAATATAAAAGTGTCAGTTTATGATACAAAGCTCCCCTGACTTCAATTATAAAACCCTACTCTCATATTTCTGTGATGATTGAATAGTTAACATTAGTGCATCACCGTGTGTTGATGAGGAAATAATGCTAGTGCTTATAATGACAGCATTGAATAGATTCAACTATTTAAAGCTAAGGATAAATGTTTGCCTGCATCAGATAAGTCTCATGCTTTTGGCCTTGGCAGCAATTAAACACAAAGCACTTCTAAACACCTTGCTTGCACCTATTACATAGACCCAGTGGGAGGTGCAGCCATTAATCAGACAAACTGCAGGGAGTAACATTGTTGATTGTGCCATAGAGGGATGGTGGGGCCTCCTGCAGGTCTCTAGCTGTTGTTTTTTCCTCCCTACACAATTTTAAACAAAAAAATTTGCAATCTATAGCAATGCTTTAAAATATGTGAGAGGGGAATCATTTATTAGGTGGAAAGAATGGAGGTGGGCTTCCGAAAGATATGGAAGCATCAGAGTGGTTTGTGAGTAAACTCAGGTTCCTTCTGACTTGCATACTTGGAGAAACTGAAAGGAACACCTTAAGATCCCTACATTTTTCAATAGTAATCACCACTCTGATCAACTGAATGTCAAGCTACATAGCAAGTAAAGAAAAGAGAAGGATATTGTAGCAAAGAGAAGGTCATGGTAAATGTGACGCAAATGAGAAAGTTTACAAATAGAAGCACTCTTCTCTCCCAAAGAAGTTATATTTTCTAGATAGGAAACATCCTATTTTCATATTATTGTTATTGACACAGGCACAGAATATTCTTGTCATATGCCAGGATGTAGGTGGTGTGACCTGGAGATCAGAACAAGAGCCAGGCCTAGTGGTTAGGAGACAAGCCAATGATTAGAGCAAGAGGGATCAGAGGAAGGTAGAGGATAGGGTTGAGGCACAAACAAGTATGGGTTGGTGCAAAGACAAGTATAGGAAACAGAAGTGATACTGCTATAGCTGTAGAAGACATTGAGCAGCTGATGTACTACAATTATTAGAAGGCTTAAATGATGCGCTGGCTTTTCTGTCCAATCAGGGTACACAGTCACTTAGCGATAGCTCATTGAGCCTAGTCTTGATCATAGTGTTGCCAGAGGTTGTGTCTAGAGCATGCCTCAATGGTTCCTCTTAACAGCCGCTGACCCTGGCTTTTCAGAATATCTTTAGTGAAATTCCCAGAAGAGACAGTGTGAGCATTTTCTTTTGGCCATGAGGATCATTCCTCTGCCTGGTACCACTTCTAGTCTGTCAGCTATGAGAGCTTCCTTCTGACTTATTGGGAATCAAAGACCTGATAGATTTTGCATTCCTTCTGCCCCTGAACTGTTTTTTTGGGGTGAAAAGAATCTACCCAGTCACAGAAGGGATTGTTAAATAGTTTGAGTAGGGAAACATGAAAGAGAGAATGTATCTTGACAGATCCTGGGATATTAAGCTTAAAGGGCACTGAGTTTATTTGTTTGATGATTTAAAAAGGATCCAAGTATTGGTGGTCAAGCTTGGCAAAATAGTTGTCTGTTCTCAAGTTTGGGGCAATAGTCCAACCTTTAACCCCTATGACAAGTTTAAAGGCACATTATTGCTTTTGGCTAGCATAATGCCTATGAGGGACTCTTTAGAGCCAAGTAAGTATTCTTTGAATATTCTCTGAAGGTGGAGGACCAGATCAGCTTTACCTCAGTCCCCGGAAAAATCATGGAGGGGATCCTCAAGGAATCCATTTTGAAGCACTTGGAAGAAGGGAAAATGATCAGGAATAGTCAACATGGATTCACAAAGGGCAAGTCATGCCTAACCAATCTGGTTAGCTACTATGATGAGGTAACTGGCTCTGTGGATATGGGAAAGTTGGTGGATGTGATATACCTTGACTTTAGCAAAACTTTTGATATGGTCTCCCACAGTATTCTTGCTAGCCAGTTAAGGAAGTATGGATTGGATAAATGGACTGTAAGATGGACAGAAAACTGGCTAGACTGTTGGGCCCAATGGGTAGTGATCAACAACTCAATGTCAGGTTGGTGGTTGGTTTCTAGCAGAGTGCCCCAAGGATCGGTTCTAGGACTGGTTTTGTTCAACATCTTTATTAATGACTTGGATGAGGTGATGGATTGCACTCTCAGCAAGTTTGCAGATGACACTAATCTAGGGGAAAAGCTAGATATGTTGGAGGGCAGGGAAAGGGTCCAGAGTGTCCTAGACAGATTAGAGGATTGGTCCAAAAGAAATCTGATAAGGTTCAACAAATACAAGTGTAGAGTCCTGCACTTGGGATGGAAGAATCCTAAGCATTGTTACAGGCTGGGGACCGAATGGCTAAGTAGTAGTTTGGTAGAAAAGGACCTGAGGATTATAGTGGATGAGAAGCTGCATATGAGTCAACAGTGTGCCCTTGTAGTCAAGAAGGCAAATAGAACATTAAGTTTCATTAGGACGAGACATTGCTAGCAGATCTAGAGAAATGATTATTCCCCTTTATTTGGCTCTGGTGAGGCCACATCTGGAGTAATGTGTCCAGTTCTGGGCCCCCCACTGTAGAAAGGATGTGCATGCACTGGAGAGGGTCCAGTGGAGGGCAACAAAATGATTAGGGGGCTGGAGCACATAACCTACAAAGAGACACTGAGGGATTTGGGTTTATTTAGTCTGCAGAAGAGAAGAGTGAAGGGGGATTTGATAGCAGCCTTTACTTCCTGAAAGGAGGTTCCAAAGAGAATGGAAAGAGGCTGTTCTCAGTAGTGACGGATGGCAGAACAAGGAGCAATGGTTTCAAGTTACAGTGGGGGAGGTCTAGGTTGGATATTAGGAAAAACTCTCTCACTAGGAGGGTGGTGAAGTACTGGAGTGGGTTACCTAGGGAGGGGTGGAATCTCCATCCCTAGTTGTTTTTAAGTCTTGGTTTGACAAAGCCCTGACTGGGTTGATTTAGTTGGGATTGGAACTACTTTGAGTAGGGGGCTAGACTCAATGACCTCCTGAGGTCTCTTCCAGCCCAATGATTCTAGCTCAATGACATTGGTTGAATCTTCAGGTTATGTGTAGAACTTCCAGATTCTTGTGATCTGTCCAGACCTGGACAGGATCATACCCTTTCATCCCCAAGGAGATGATACAGTTCCTCAAAGTCAGCTCCATTGGCTAAAAGCTCCTTCTGCATGTAATGGGTTGTCTACCACACACAAGGCCTGAAGGGTTAAGGTGGCTAATAGAACCAATTAATCAATTAACTGCCCAGGCTGCAGCTGGACAAGAAGTCAGGAAGCAGGGATTAATTAGATGAGAACAGAAGGAGCCTTTATAAAGCCCAGGAGCTGAGAGCAGAAAAGGGGACTACAGAGAATGTACTCCTAGACAAAAGGAATTGCTAGACAGGTATTTAAATTGTTTGCAGTAAAGAGGGCTATTTTACTTCAGTTCATTGTGTCTATCCGATGTGGAAACCAATATATGCAGGATTCAGTTCCTAAATGGTATAGCATCCACTATTTAAAAAGATAAATGTCTGATTCTGCCAGCTCTATTCACAATTGGTAGTCTGAAGCTCATCAGTAGGATTATATGCTCAGAAAGATATAGATCTTTGACGGGCTAATTTTGACACAAGAGAAGGAGAAAATATTTTACAGTGACAGACTTTAAGAACTCAATCTGTTTCGTTCATCAAAAAAATATGAAGAGGTGACTTGATTACAGTATATAAGTACCTTCATTGGGAGGATATACTGGCTACTGAAGGGCTCTTTAATCTAGTAAAGAATGTTATAACCAAAACCAATGCCTGGAAGCTAAAAATACAAATAGGAAATCAGACCCTGGATTTTGTTTTGTTTTAAACAGTGATTAACCATTGGATTTAATTATCAAGGGAAGTGATAGAGTCTTCATCTCTTGATGTCTCTGAATCAAGACAGGGAGCCTTTTTGGAAGTTGTGCTTTAGAGAAACACAGGTTACTGGACCCAATATGGGAAAATAGTGAAATTTAATAACATCTGAAATAAGGAAGCCAGAGTAGATGTGTAAATATCAGGACAAGTGACAAAAAAATACTTTTTGATTGAAGTTGCTAGGGGTCTAATATTCAGCTGAAATACTTGTTCGAAAAGAGACTCTGGGGGCCCTGGTCAAAAGTCTGATTGGCATCCCCCACTAAGCCACTGACCAGGAGCTGCCTGAGGTAAATGCCATCCAGCCAAAGTCTGCACTCCAAACCACCTCCAACACTGCAACCATCTCCATCAGGCTGCAATCCCTCCTGTACCCTAACCCTTTCCCAGAACGCATACCCTGTACCTCAACCCCCTGCCCCTCCCACATGCAAACTCCCTCCTAGAGTCCACACCCAGCAACCCTTCCTGCACTCCAAAACCCTCAGTCCTGGCCCTACCCCGGAACCTACACCCATAGCCAGAGCCCTCACCCTGTCCCATGTTCCAACCCCTTGCCCCTAGCCTGGAGCCCTCTCCCACATCCTGAACCCCTTCCTTCTGCCCCCTCTCTAAAGCTTGAACCCCCATCTGGAGCCCTCACACCCAGACCCCCCACACTCCACTCTTATGAAAGAGAGAGAGGGTGTGGGAGAACAAGTGACAGAGTAGGGGATGGACCAAGCGGTGGAGGGCAGGCCAGACGTGGGACAAAGGTGTTCTGTTTTTGTGCAGTTAGAAAATTGGAAGCCCTACTTTTGATTGTACAGAAAGTGATAGCATTTATGCAAATTGATTGCCAATCCTAGGATCCTGGGACTTTGACAATCAGGCCCCAGTATGCTAGACAGAATGAGTTATGAGGAAGATTAGTATAACTAAATATGGCTATGCAGTACTTGAGCTCATTGATGACTAAAGAAGAATATAAATAACATACCTATTTGCAATTATTTTAAAAAGGGAAATACCAGAGAGGGAGAAGAAATATTTAAGATCACATGACAACAAAGATGTACAGGAAGAAATTAATCAAGGTGAAACATATGCAGGATATAAGAAGATATTCCCTAATATAGAGGTCACAATAATACAGGATACTCTCTCAATGGGAGTTTTAGAAAGTCTCACTGTTTGAATAATTTACAACTGGATCAAACACTCAAGTGTAAAAAACAGGAAAAAAATAACCAATATGGCATCAGAAGCATGGACACAGAGGATCTAATAGCTCTACTATGACTAACACTTAGCAAGCAGCATACTAGAGAATGCTCATTGTAGTACATATACTCACAGGAACAGCAGAGACCCTGCTTGCCTACTCCTATTAACATGTTCAAGCAAAGATTACAGTAGGCAGGCTTGTTAAAGTGTTTCAGTCTCCATACATGCTGCCCGTCATCCTTCACATTCTGCACAGGACATAAAAGAAACATATTTTGTTTAATGAAATAAACATTAAAATATATAAGTGCCAATAAAAATTAGAGATGGACTCTAGAACATAAAAGTCATGCTCTTACTTCATTTACTACACTTCACACCAGATCATGATATAATCCTGGCTAAATACTCACTGATGTGATAAGATTCCTCAGAAGCTCATGGATACCTATACATTTCCAAAATCATGAAGAAAGATAGATACCTGTTGTTAATAAGACTGCAACAGATAGCTATCCATAAATGTAATAGGGCAGCTATTTAACTAGATGGGAATTAGTTCTAAAGTATATATTGCTGCAGAATTAACAGATATAGAATTGCTCTAATTTCAACAGACTTATTTTGGGGCCTTCTGGTTGTAGAACATACTTGTCGTGGAAACCAGATATGGTCTGCATTAAACAAGATGACAAACAATGATAAAAATGATCCGTTCTGGGCCTACATTCTAGGAATCCACATCTATCTATCCTAATTGGGCTGACAGTGGGATTTATATCCTAGACCTTCAGTACTAAAAAGTGAGCCCCTAGTACTTGATCCAAAGGATTAAATCCTCCAGCTGGAAGCAGTAGCAGAATCTTGAGGGTGGGCCAGTCTCTAGAGGGATATTGCCTTATAGTCTCCTAGGGTAGATTGCACTTGCTTTTAAAAAAAGTGAATGAAAACATGAATGTTTGAAAGATTTCTTCTCCATTTCAATCAGTATTAGTTCCCATTAACAAAATACTCTTAAAGGCTGTCATTGAGGATTTTTTTATATAAATACAACGTGGTTGATTTTTTAAAGTGTTTGTTTTGTGCTACTTTCATTTATTATCATTTGTAACTATTTGTATAGATCCCAGGTTCTGTAGCTGGTGTCTTGGCAGGCTTCTTTATTTTTGCAAAATTAGTAACTATTAAACTTGTTTTAATAAGCAACTGAGATGCACGTACCATATATCAACAGCCTTATTACAACTACCTTAAGGTTTTTTTTGAGACATTAGATAACAATCTGTATTATAAGTAAAATAGCAGATAAGGTAATAAAAAGTGAATCTCTGTCAACTAAAAGTGATCAGAGGTAATTTTTCAAGTTTTTGGTCTTTGATTTTTTGTGTTGTATGTGTTTCTATATTGTGGTGAGTATATTCTATATTCTATTTTCTATCTATATTGTGTTGAGTGTCCTGGACCATTTCTTTATTAAAAGAAAAGACAGGACTATGGAACACTTTAAAGACCATAGTCCTGTCTTATGTTTCAGCAAGACCAGACTAACACAACTACATCGATATTACATTTCTTTATTAGACATTCAGTACCCGCATTCTAACTCAGATTACATTATATAAGAAATACATTATTTCTGGCAAAAAATGCAAGGTATGAACAAATTAATATGCAAGTGACCCAGAAATTCTACATGTGCATGCAACAAAAAGAAAAACTTGTGCCCAATCTATATAAATTGCTCTAATTCTCATTCTGGCTTTACACCCTAATCCAAAGGAGGCATAACCCAACAATACCATGTTCCTGACTAAAATATATCACAACATACTGGACCAAATTCTGATCTGATGTATCAGGATACAACTGGACTTTACCTGAGCTGAACTCTGCTAATACTTTTTAAGCACTTTCTACTCTGTTGTGTTTTGACACATATGTGTGTTCTTAAAAAGTAAAGTAAATGTTTTTAACATGAAAAAATAGCTATGTACATAGCTGTTTCTCATTTATGATACCAAAGACCATAAGAGCAGTTCTCACACTACTATATATTCACCCTGGTTTTGAGTGGGCTGTCTGAGGCATTAGTCTTAGTATCGTTAGAGGAAGTCAATGGACATAATACAACTCAAATGTCATGTAGCTCTATTAGAATCCCTGAGGATGTATTTGACATCATGAAGATAACTATGTCTGTGTAAAAAAGTGAAATGAGAAATTCTGTGTCTGATCCAAAACCAAACCCTACTTAAAACACATTTTTGAAAGATTTCTACAAAACACCTACATTAACTGAAGTCATCAGAAATTGAAATCAGTGGAAATATTTTTGCCTATCTGGACACTTCAGGATCAGCCCCCACATGGTGTTCCCCTGATATTATCAAGAGGAACTTACATGCCATCTCTGACAGATGGTCACTGCCGGGGCCTTCTTTCTGTAAAGAGAGCAAGGGAGATGCCTAATGTGGGACTATAAGGCTGACAAAGAGTGTGGAAGTTTTCCAATATTCCCTGAAGAATCAGAAATAGTTTTTGTAGCAGTGGAGCCCCAGATTCCTGTTGAGCTTCTACAAGAATGGCAGATGTACACAGCCTGATTTATTAGATAGAGGTCCATGATTTTTAAATGTTAACCCTTATCTTAATACCCCAATCAACACATTTTTAATATTGTTAAATTTTACTGTACTAAATGCATTTTAAGTCTTCTAACAGAATGACTAGGCACTGCAAAATACAAATTATGTAAATGTGTTTGAGAGATAAATAATTACAAACTTTACATACTTTCATTCCAAGACATACTAATGTGGTCAATGTGTGCTGGATTAAGCTAAATAGCACCTACAATCCAAACTGACCCTCTTCTCAAAAAGAAAACAATTGATTTTGTATTAAAGTTAACATAAAATGAACGATAACACATGGATACACATTTTGTTTCACATTAGTTTCATTTTACTTTTTTTCTAATTTTAAGAGACTCGCCATTCCATGTGAATATGCCTCTTCTTATTTGAACAGAACATATGGACTAACTTAGCTGGCATTTTCCTTATAAAAAAAACAAACAAGTCTTGATGTGGGTGTTCTGCCAATTAAAACACTTAACTGTGTTACAGGCTGCAACTGATGCAGAAATCCATTACATAAACACAATGCACTTTTAGAAAATAGCAAATTAAATTTTTGCTCTTGTGCACTGCCAAAAATCAGCAATAAAGTGCTGCAGATGATTATGCAAGTACATTACTTTTTAAAAACACTGCTGAGAGGCGGGGGGAGCACCCACATAATGTGAAACAAACCCCTTCAGTATAAGAATTTATATATAAATAAAATCCACATTACTGACACATAGTGTATTGAGCGACATTCAGTCATCTTACTTCCATATTCTGAAACAGAATTTAACAACAAATAGTCATTTAGAAGATCTCAAACCAGGACATCTTCAGTACAAATCTCTTCCTCAGTTCATTATATTGCACTTAAAATGAATCCTCCATATGGCATACACAGACGTTAGCACACAATGGTAACAGTAACATTTTTTCACTCACACTAAGTCTTATCATTGACTGCGGTCCTGATCCTACTTTCATTGAAGTTAATAGGAGCATTGTCAATTATTTTAAGGCAGAAGAATTGGACCATAAATAAGCAAAACACCCAGGAACAGCCAACCCTAAAAACGAAAAAGTTGCACAATATCATGAACTTTACCTCCCCAGATTGGTATAAAGTTAATGCTCACTTATTTTAGTTTTTTAGATATTTATTAATAAATATAATTGTGGTTTTGGTTAGGACCAGAGGCACAATGATACCATTTATAAACTGAATTTATATGTTCTAGGGGAAGAGCTGTCTTTTTGTCTGCTGGCCCATAAATGCCCCAGAATTGTCAGGCACACAGATGAATATGATTTGTTGGGGAAGAGAGAACATGATTTTTGTAAAGGGAAATCATGCCTCACCAATCTACTAGAATTCTTTGAAGGGGTCAACAAACATGCAGACAAAGGGAACCTAGTGGCTATAATGTACCTACATTTTCAGAAAGCCTTTGACAAGGTCTCTCACCAAAGGCTCTTTAGTAAAGTAAGCTGTCATGGGTTAAGAGAATAACAGAATGTTGGGAATTGTTAGGAAAGGGATAGATAATAAGACAGAAAATATCACATAGCTGCTATATAAATCCATGCTATGTCCACATCTTGAATGTAGATGTGGTTGCCCTATTTCAGAGAAGATATATTGGAATTGGAAAGGTACAGAAAAGGTGACCACGAATGGTTAGAAATATGTGACCACTTCCATATGAGGAAAGAATAATAAGGGTGGGACTTTTCAGCTGGAAAAGAGATGACTAAAGAGTGATATGATATAGGTCTATAAAATCATGCCTGATGTGGAGAAAAAGAATAAGGAAGTGTTATTTACTCTCTCTCATAACACAAGAACTAGGAGTCACCAAATGAAATTAACATGCAGCAGGTTTAAAAAAAGCTATATGGACTATTTCTTCACACAATCCTTTGAACTCATCACTAGAGGATCTTGGGAAGGCCAAGACCATACCAAGATTCAAAGAAGAAATATATACATTCATGGAGAGTAGGCTAATTAATGGCATCCTTATCCTCTTTTTGCTAAAAGCTAGGAATGGGTGACAGGGAATGGATCACTTATTGATTACCTTTTTTGTTCACTCCCTCTGGAACACCTAGCATTGGCCCGTATTGAAAGACGGGATACTTGGACAGATGGACCTCTGGTTTGATCCAATAGATGGGCCTTATGTAGGATCTCTATCACTATGCAGCAGTAAAATCAGAGTGGTCTGGGGTGACATACATTACCCAAATCCTTAGTGGGAAAAATAGGTATTAGGGCATTGTGGGTAATAATTTTTGGTGCGGGGCCACACAAAGATTTTGGAAAGTGGTCAAAGGGCCACACTTTTCTGTGGAGGGGGTGAAGGGACTAGGATGGTGGTTGGGTGCAGAAGGGTGCACGGGGTAAGGGACTGGGGTGCAGGAGATGATATGTGATCTGAGAGGAAGTTTAGGCAAAGAAGAGGGTTATGACCTGGATGAGGGGACAGGAACATAGGGTCAGGGAGAGGGCATGGGTGCAGGAGAGGATTCTGGCCTGGGAGAGTGGCACTAGAAGGGGGTGCAAAGTCTGGAAGGGATCTGTGACCTGGGAGAAGGGGAAAAGGGGCTGCAGACTACAG